TCCAAAGCGAGGGCTGAGCGGCTTGCCACTCGGCCCTCGCAGTTCTCTCCCCCCCCACGCGGCAGCGGGAGGTCGGCTGCAGAGCGTTCCCTGCGCATGCGCAGGGAACGCTCTGTCAGTTTCGGGGGGATTTAAACATCCCCCCGATATTTTTTACAGGGTTTCAGATTTTTGTGCACACCTGGGGACCGCCCCACGTGTGCACAAAACTCTCCCTCCCCTCCAGGTCCCCCCGATGTGCGGAAATAAGTATCCGCACACCAGGGGGTGACCGGAATTAGATATATAGATATTACCAGGACCAGTTCTTATGGATTAAACTGGATTCACGGATGGTTTTGAGTAGAGCGAGAAAATTCCTGGCATGGTTTAGAACAGAATGAAATAACACTCCTCTAGAGATTATCCCTTGAATCGATATTAAAACAGAAAACTATTCGAAAATAATTACTAGAATTCTAGACTGGAATTACTAGACTGGAATTACTAGAATTCTAGACAGGAATGTGGTGGGTGCAGCCACAAAATGGCTGCAGCAGGAGGCAGAGACAGCCATGAAATGGCTGCCACGGCTCACCTTCAGTCAGGAGGCAGCAGCTGCCAAAGAAACGTTCTTAAAAATCCAAAACGCCAATCAAATCTTCAATGGCCAATCGGAAGCTTTGCTGGGCAAAAGTCCCACCTGGCTCTGCCCACTTTCTCGAAGCTCTTGCTGGGCACCAGGAGAGGCGTTGGCGAGTGCCACGGTGCCCACAGGCCCCACACTGAGGGCCCCTCTTCTGTGGAGCTCTGGAAATCCGGGACGAATACAGGAGGATTCTTTGCATAATTGGAACCAGTAATCCACCATGATGGATTTCATGGGACCATTTAAGATTGAGACCATGTAAGTTCCAAACTGACATCCTTCTTCAGTGACTCTGAGGCATTACCCAGATGAAATCTATGCCAGCGTGTTCCTGCTGCAGCACGTATTTAATATTTTTGTACAATATTTTACCTATTATTGGGAAGGACCAATGACAGGAATGTCTCCTGCTCTCCCCAACAGAATCCAAGTGTCTTCTTCTGATTTAATTACCACCTGAATGGCCTCCAGGTCATCTGACCTTGGGGCATGGCATTTGCTAGGGCTAAAAACTTAAAGGGCTGCTTTTAAGCAGTAGAACTACCACAAGGCCTAGCAAGTGGCGGCTGTTGGAAGTGAAGGACTTTGCGCTGTCTCTTAGCCTCAGACTTCAGAGGGGGACTATAAGAGAGTCAGAGAGTTAGATAGGCCAGGACACTGTTCACCCTTCCTTTTCTACTACTCTCTGATGCTATTCCTTTGATGTGTAGATTGCTACTCTCAGGGAATCTTCCTTCTTTCGGATCTGACATCTTTTCTCTCCACACTCTGCCATCTCTTTTCCATCTTGGGGCCATGAGGGCAGGACATGCTTCCCGCATCTCTATCCATCCTAGCTAGTTAGACTAGATTAGAATCCTATTCCTATCCTGTCTAGAATGGAGTCCCTTACAATACAGGACTCGTATTAGTTTTGCAAAGATAAAGAAGCTCCGTGTGTAACTTTGTTTCTTGCCAGCACACACAAACCAGATGGGCTCTGCTGCGTTATGTGTCCTGAGCACTCTGCTACCCCAAAGAATCCTTCGGAGAACAGCACAGAGCAAATAATATGAAAAGCACCTATAATCTAAATTCTGACTTGATGACAAAATACAGACATGACAGGAATTCACGGACACAAAAATAAGCTCAGGGCCGGTTCCAGTTTTTGGGGGTTCCTGGGGCAGAGAGTTCCCTCCCCGCCCACTCATCCGTGCGCCTCGCTACCTGCCGGTGCACCCTTCCTCGTTGCCCTGCTTGCAAGCCCTCCCCCTGCCCATGCTCACAGCCATCTGCACTGCCCACAGCACTTGCCCTGGTGGCACGGGGCCCGGTGTGCAGCAGGGAGCATGGGTGGTGGGCGAAGCACTCCCAAGTGAGCAGGCAGGGGAAAGGCATGTGTGTGTGTGGGGGGGGTTTCAGCACAGCAGCAGTGGGTCTCACCAGAACCCCCGGGGCCCTGGCCACTGCCCCACCTCAGCGTATGCTGACGCCGGCCCTGAATACATGGCTTGTATTTTCATGTCTGAATTCTGAATAAGTTCAGACGCCTGTGATGAGCAAGCCCACGGCACACTTGAGGAGCTTTCCTTGCTTCCTTCGGGCTTCAGAGGTAAGCCCGTTGGAGTGATAGATCACCAATCAGTGTTCCCTCTAAGCTGAGTCGGTGTGAGCTAGCTCACAGTTTTTCAGCCTCCAGCTCACACATTTCTGTTTTAGCTCAGGAAGGAGGGCTCCGGAGCAGACTAATTTACGCAGCAGCCCAATCGCTCGCTCACAGCTTTAATGCCAGTCGCTCACAAAGCAGAATTTTTGCTCACAAGACTCCGCAGCTTAGAGGGAGCATTGATGACCATTTATTTAAGCAATTTACTAGCCCCTTCTGGGAAAAAAGTCAAAGTAGATATAAACAAATAAAACGGCCCTAACCCCTCCGCCCCCACTGACCTGTGTCCGATCTCGTGCGCCATTGTGACTCCCAGGTCAAACCCGGTGTCCTCAGTGATGATGCAGTTCCAGAGGGAGGAACAGGCCCCACCCAGCTGGGTGACGCCCCGCACCTGCTTGTCCCCATCTGGTAACTCCAGGTCGACCCTAAGAGAAAGAGACCCAGAGGGAGAGCGCTGAACCAAGAGAGAAAGTGTGGAGATGCTGGCCTCGAATGTCCCTGTGGAATTACACAAATTTAAACTCTTATCTAGGGGGTACCTCACTCCAGTTCGCTTATCCCATATGTCATCTAATTATTCCAAGTTATGTTGGAAAGGCTGTGGTCAAGAAGGTACGTATGCACACTGTTGGTTGCACTGTGCGGGAGTTAAAAAATTCTGGTTCTCAGTAACAAAACTTATCAAACGTATGATAGATGTTTTGGAGCTGGGAGTAAGGGAGTTGGGAGTAAGCAGTGAAGTGGCTAAATTTGCGGATGATACGAAGTTGTTCAGGGTGGTGAAAACCAGGGAGGATTGTGAGGCACTCCAAAGGGATCTGTCAAAGATGGGCGAGTGGGCGTCAACATGGCAAATGGGGTTCAATGTGGCCAAGTGCAAGGTGATGCACATTGGAGCCAAAAATCCTAAATATAAATACACGTTGATAGGGTCTGAACTGGCAGAGACTGAGCAAGAGAGAGATCTTGGAGTTGTAGTAGATAACTCACTGAAAATGTCGAGACAGTGTGTGACTGCAATAAAGAAGGCCAATGCTATGCTGGGGATTATTAGGAAGGGTATTGTAAACAGATCAGCCAATATCATAATGCCCCTATATAAATCAATGGTGCGACCTCATCTGGAATACTTTGTGCAATTCTGGTCACCACACCTTAAAAAGGATATTATAGCTTTGGAAAAAGTGCAGAAAAGGGCAACTCGAATGATAAAAGGGTTGGAACACTTTCCCTATGAGGAAAGGTTAGGGCGCTTGGGACTCTTTAGCTTGGAGAAAAGACGACTGAGGGGTGACATGATTGAGGTTTATAAGATTATGCATGGGAAAGAGCAGGTAGAGAAAGAGGTACTTTTCTCCCTTTCTCACAATACAAGAACCCGTGGGCACTCCATGAAATTGCTGAGCGGTCGGGTTAGAACGGATAAAAGGAAGTACTTCTTCACCCAAAGAGTGATTAACACATGGAATTCACTGCCACAGGA